GAACCCAGCTGGGTAGCAGTGGAGCAACACAGAGATTGTTTTCTGATAAACATCAGCCAAGAACTAGGAGAAGCAGGACTTGAGGGTGGGAGAGGTAGAGAAGAATGCTCCCATGGGTCATTATGGAGCCTGCAAAGAAGTCCTTCGGGATTTAGGTATCACCACACACATTCTGTAGCATTCACTGATGACACATCAACTGAAGGGACCTCACATCCTTGACTCATCCTCTGGCCTCCTACCATCCATCAGAGCTTCGTGTTCCTTTTTCACAAAATGTAGCTGCCCATCGAGGGACTTCACCTCCAGCGCTTAGGTGGAACTACATGGCTGCCTTCTGTGCCAGCTCCAGGTGGGGCCCTGGGCACCTCATGCCACCCTGGCGCTCTCTCCTTGTCCGCCAGCTGCATGCTGATGCCCATGGCAACCTTGTGGGAAGGGCTGAAGACAGCAGAGGGCCTACACTAGTCCAGATCCCTAAATAACCTCGATGAGCAGAGCCACCACCCTCTTCCCTGCCACACACGTTGAGCTGTACGAGAGCGATGAGAAAGAAACCTCAACAGCATGAAGCCATTGAGGTTCTTGGGTTTACCTCTTACTGTGGTTAACAGTTACTTTAACTAATACAACGACGTCTAACTTGAGTGACGAAATTTAATTTCTACTTAGAGTAGTCGAAGCACAGTGTATGGGGGAAGGGAAAAGAACATAGCACAGACTCAAAGATCCCCAGTGCGCGTCTGTTCATCACACGCCCGGTGAAGGTGGAGCTGTAGTGTGGCGACAGCTACCTCCCTCTCTGCACAGAACGCCTGGAAACGCAAAGTTAGTCACATTTTATAACTTACAAAACATTACCCCAAATTAGAAACCGCCTCATGGACCCAAACTCTCTGCAATCACCAGGCTCATGTAAACCATACTAGCATCTGTTTTCTGGAAGAAAATATTAACACCTGGTAAAGTCCCCTGCTCAGAAGAAACGTTTCCTGGGAGGTGTTCCTGTGTTCATTTTGCCAGTTTCCAGATGGATAAAGCTAAGGTTTCCTTTCACTTCTTCCAGAAATATAATTTATTACATAGCATTTACAACTTGAAAAGGGATCCTAGAATAGGTTCACGAGTAACATTCAGAAGCGTAAGGCCCGTGACATGGCTGTGGGAGGTGCCATCTCTTGGCTAGGACCGTGGGATTTTTTCCTGAGCCCATCATGTGGAACCTGGGCTGCTCCTCCCAGATGCTCCCTGCACCCCAGGGGCTGCTCTGTGTTTGGGAGGAAGTGATGCCGAAGCTCTTACTTTGCTGTATTTTTATTTTTAAAGGTTTTAACCACAGGGCACATGCAATTGCTGGAGAGGGAAAATGAGAAATCACTCCCCTGAGGGATAGCCATGCCAAAATCTCTTCTCCATTCTCCTTTTGGGATTTTGGGCACACATGCATACATGCCCAGCATGAGTTTCAATCTACCAGGTCCGGGACTTGAACTGCCATTGGCCATGTGGGGGTCCAATGCCTTAACCACCACACCACTTTCTGGCCTCACTTTGCTGTATTTTGACTTTCTTGTTCTAGAGTGGTATTTGCAAACACCACGCCCATGCCAATGGTTGATGGGTTTGTTTGGTCTGGAAAGATGGAGACTTCTAAACCTCAGAGTGGTGGGGGAGCAAGCAGTACCTGACGCAGCATGTGTGTGTGGGTGCTGACTGGCTCGGCCTCCCAGGACCTGGAAATGCCAAGAAGCATCACCTATGGTTATTGTTGTTGGCGGGAGTGGTCCTTAAACTGATCTGCAGAAAAACAGAGGAGCAGACCAGGAGGGCCCCAGGTGGGTCACAGTGAGCCTGGGCTCCGCATTCTACAGCCAAGGCTGGTCATAGCTCCACTCATCACTCGTCAGAGCTGCTGGTTAGCCTCCCCAAGCCAGAGACCAGCTGTTCTGGGGGGCGCTGTGGAGGGTCTCTGTAGGACACAGCAGAGATCAGCTATTCTGGGGGGGCTGTGGAGGGTCTCTGTAGGATACAGCAGAGATCAGCTATTCTGGGGGGGCTGTGGAGGGTCTCTGTAGGATACAGCAGAGATCAGCTATTCTGGGGGGGCTGTGGAGGGTCTCTGTAGGATACAGCAGAGATCAGCTATTCTGGGGGGGGTGTGGAGGGGCCTTGGGGGGCACAGGCGAGATCCGC